CCACTGGCCGGGCAGTACCGCACTTCTGTCAATCCTTTTCTTATAGGGTTATGGAGCTTGTTTTTTCAGGACAGCAGATACGGAAACAGATTGTTGAGCTCCCTTTATGTGGCAAAACAGCAAAGCTGGATGAAACCAGTTGGAACCAATATGGATGACGGGCATTTGTTCAGAATAGAAATGGGATACACACACACACACACACACACACACACACACACACACACACACACATTTAAATGCATACGCTTTGACCTATTGGGATAGTCTTTTCAGACCACCCAGCATGGCACTGGCAGGATGTGCATTCAGCGAATACTTACTTTACAAAAAAACAGCACGTTTTCACTAAGAACATTTACATCAACTTTCTCTTTTAGAACTTTAAGGACTGGGTCACTTTTTTCATAATGCACATTTGTTTCTTTTATAAAAAACTAAGGAAAAAAATCTGTAAAAAAAGATAATATTTGTTTTGACCGACCGTTCCAAACTTCCAAGGTCTTTCTGACTCCTGATTCAGTCACACAACGAATAAGCTACCCTGTATAGTTTGGAATCTTTCACAAGTGTGATAGGGAAGCCTTCTTTGTTTCTATCCAAGTTTTGATAAAAACACTTGAAGGACTCAACAGGAGAGCAGTATGCCATCAAAGTTCTCTCTGCACAGGACTTGTAACTATTGGTTTTTCTTTTTGTACTATCACTTGGCATATGTTTCTCCATCCTGTCTCCAACAAAAGAAACTTCAACCACTATAAAGTGAGTTAGAGTGTCTAAGGGGCTTACCTATTTACCTCTGTGGTGATCCTATGAGTTAGTTTGGCATTAGTAGATCTATACTGTTTTTTCTGAAGCAAGCATTAATTTAATATACAGTGCCAAATGTCATGGTCTGTATGACTAGAAACCAGTCCAAAAATCAGGATATTTTTACTGACCACTACTTTTCAGGCACAGATTAGAATGAATCTTTGTTTGAAAATTCACTGGAGTCTCTATTAGATATTATAAAAGAACTATGGGTTAAAGAGACTGGAGTATGGGCATTGGCAGGCAGTTGAAAACACTGCTTAGTTAGATGCACCAGTCAAAGGCAGAGTGGGACGCAGTGGTTTGAGCTGTGTGTCCCCACAGCGTGGTTTATGCCAGTGCCTACTACTAAGGCACTCATGAAATGTGTACACTCAAGACCATGATCTTGTGTTCTAGCAAGGCTAAAGTTGAGTTCCGGGGCCTCTTGAGCTTCGGCTGAACTTGCCAGGAAAGTCACAGGACTGCAAGCAGTTCTTCTCAACCGTGCCCAGCTTCGCCCAAGCCCACGTTCATTCCTAAACTCACTCAAAGTACTGTGGCTCTCGCTTCTCAAGCAGGGCCCCAGATGACCTGCCCTCTTAGGGCCCAGAACACCCAAAGGGCTCAACTGTGCATGCACATGCTTTGCACTGGAGCAGGAGCATCTTCATGCTCTGGACTGAAATCCGTTCACCTGGGTGTAGACTAGTGGCCCCCTATCCTGGCTGAACATCAGAATCACTTGTAGAATTTTTTAAGGAGAAAAATGTCAGAACCCAGGGGTTCTGTGTCAGTAGGTCTGGGATGGGCGACAGATATCTCTACTTGCTAATAAATTCCACGGGTCCTTCTGATATGCAGCCAGGTGTCAGAATCTCTGATCTAAATCCACACACTCAATGAGGCAGCAGTTTTCTCTGCTCTTATTTCTGCTGCCTTGTCCTTCCCCGTCCCGGAAGAATCCAACCATCTGCCTGAATCTGGATGAATCCCCTACCTGCTCTTACATCTGCACTGCTGAAGGAAGTCACACAAGTCTCCGTGGTTTCCACTACCAATCCGTGTGCTCCAACGTTAGCTAAACCCTCATGCTCATGGAAATCCTATGATTCCCAAGTTGGCTTGTCCTCCCCCGTTTTCCACAGTGGCCTTTTCAAATCTCCCCTTTCCCTCTCCCTTTCCCTCTTAGCAACACCTCCCTAACACTCCACTCTCCGTAGGTGACCTTACATCTTGCTTCACCACAGCAAAGGAAGAGATTAGGGAGGACCTCTCTAACCTAGCTCCTTTCCTCAACTACTACAGACACCACTGACCACCTGGTCCATGTCCTTTCTGACGTGTGTTCTCAGGACCTCACCTCATCACACTGCTTCCAGCACTGGAATCCATCCATTACTCTTCCCCTCCTTCTCTAGTCTTTTGCATTCTCCTTCGCTACAGTTCCTTTCCAAACACAATGCTCAGATCGCCCCCATCATTAAATTGCTAACCACATAATAAAAAAAACCCCAAAACACCCTCCCCAATGCCACATTACCTATCTCCTCACACCACTCATCCTCCTCACTGCCAAGCTTCTTGAAAAAGTTGCCAACATCTGCTGTCCACACAATATAGCATCTACCAGCACCACCTTCATTGAGGTTACCGATGATATTCTTATTGCAAAATCGAAAGGACACGTCCCATATTTATCTGACCTGACATGTCTTCAGTACATGATCCTGCAGACGACAGCTACTTGCAGAAATTGCTTTCTTCTTCCACCTTCTGCGACTATGCATTCTGTTGGTTTTCTTCTACTTTCTACGGTTGTTACAACTCAGTTTCCTCCTTGGGTTTTCTCTGCCTCTGTTCATTCCTGCCAGAGTTTGATCCTTGGCCCTCTTCTCTTAATCTACGTGTACTGCCCAGTCAGCTCATTCATTTCTCTAGTTTCTATTACTTCACATTTTCTAACAACTCCATGACCTTTGTCTCTAGTCTGCACCACTCTCCTGAGCTCCCAAATCATACATCAGCTGCTATGTATCACCTACTGCTCCCTCTCCATCATCCCTAAGGATGTTCTATTCACATTCCCTTAGTCAACTGAAACAAGTCAGAACTTGGGAGTTTTTCTTCCCATCTCCTACCCACCCTATCACATGCATTAAATCAGGCACCAAGCCCTATCATTCTACAACCTTAATATCTCTCTCCTGTGTTTTTGCTTCAACACAGAAGATACCACTTTGAGTCAGGCCACCCAATGAGTCTCAATATAACTACTGAAAGAATTTCCTAAATTGGATTACCGGCTTCCAACTGTGATCCCTTTAAATCAAGGGTTCTTGACCTCGGCACTACTGCTATTTGGGATAATTCTGTGCCATGGGAGGCTGTCCTGAGCGCTATAGGATTTTGAGCATCTCTGGCCTCTCTCGAGGAGATGCCAGTGGCATCCCCAACCCCATCACATGACAATCGAATATGTCTCCGGTCATTACCAAATGTCACTTGGTAGGCAAACTCACTCTCAGTGGAGAACCACTGCTCTAAACCTCTTCTCCACAGGAGAGCTAGGTGAATTAACTAACTTTTCAAACTGCAAATCAGATTCAACACTCTCTTGCTTCAAGTTCTACAAAGGCCTTTTAGCATCCCAGGAAAAAAGATCTAGATTCCTTAGTTTGGCTTATAAGGCCCTGCCTGCATGGTCTTGCCCATACTAACTCTGACCTCGACTCTGGATCGATGCGACTCAGCTAAGGTTACTAAAAAAAAAATCCCACAACCACCCTAGTGGTGCTATTGCAAACTCTTGTGTGCTCTCTTTTAGACTACCATTCTAGCCTCCTCTCTCACCATTCAGTCTGATTTTCTGCTCTCTTTGAATTCTATTCAATTTCTGTGTTCCCCCTTACAACCAAGCTTTGGCTCTCATTGCTCCAGATGCCTGGGACACCCTTCCATTGTCCTACTTGCGTCTCACTCAAGTGACATCTGCGCAGAAAGTACCCCCTAACGTCCCTCACTCTACCACAAACACTCTCCTGTTGTCAGCAAGGGTGAGGGATACCCTCACTGCGTGTTCCTGTGATGCCCTGTGCTCATCCCTATATCTCTGTGTTGCAATGGTCTGGTTCCTTGTCTAAGTGATAGTCCTGTGCACCATTATATGCCAAGTGCCTAGAATAGTGCCTATCACAAAGCAGGGGCTAAAACATACTTGCTGGAAGAAGTGGGGGGAGTTAGAGAGGCCTGGGCAATGTGAAAATTGATGCTGGATGCACTCACATGGGTCTGACTACCCATATGGTGAGTTATAGGCTACGTGACAACGAGACTGACTAGTTATTTTAGTTCTTCAGGGAGCTGTCAAAATGACAGGCTGCCCTTACAGTGAAACTCCGCATTTTGTGCTGCCATGGCAGGTGGCAGGTTCATTTACCATCACAGATTTCTATAGGCTGACATTACACAGAATCATGAAGGGTATCACTGCAGTGAAACTGTTTCCAATGAAATTCTTAGTTTAAATGTTCTGGGGAATCACTGGCACACTTTTTACCACTGTAATTGAGGACTCAAATTCCAAGGGAGATCAATATGAACTTCACTTCTGAGGCCTGTGAAGGGCACAAATTAAGTTTTCATCAAACTAATTTAGAAAAATATACTTTATTCACAAAGAGAATAAAATTAAAAGGGGCAGAGGATTTCATCCTGCTCTTGTTCTAGCAAGTTCTGTCTTGGTTTTTTTTTTTAATTTCCAAAATCTCTTTAAAATATAAGGAAGATTTTAGGTAAAAAAATTTCCAACAAGAAAATAAAACTCAGGGTGAGGAAAAAAAAAAAAAAGCTGAAACTCTTATTTATACTATCTTTACAAAAGAATCATCTAAACAAGAACCAAACAGATTATTTCTAAACTCAGTTATTATCAGAAATACAAGTTAATTTGGCCCATAGATTCCAAACTATAAAGAACACAATCTGAAAGTCCCTTATTTTACTATAAACTATTAAAAGAATAAAACGTGGAATGTTCTCAGGCCATAGTAACTAGTCAGTTAAAAAAATCCCATGTACATTACCAAACAAAAGTCAGCCTAATTATCAAGTACACAGAAATGAAATGCGCTATGATCTGAGATTTGCTTTAAAAAAACTTTAGCAAAAACAATAACAACAAAAAAGGAGAATGTGTAATAAATCTTGGTAAATGTTAAATTGTAAGGTTCATTCTATTAGACTCTCTACTTTTGTGTCTGTTTAAAATTTCTCTGAATAAAAAGTTAAAAACCAGATTTATATTTTAAAAAATTAGAAATCAAATCTCATCCACAAACATTAATTACAAATATTTCAGACAACCACTTATTTTAAGCAATATTTGTCATAAACGAAAATACAGCACAACAGGTTAATTTGGACAATATTTTTAAGTTTCTATAATTGGCTTTATTTTTTGGTTAAACACATAGGGAGCAATTCAATGGGTCATTTCCAACCTAAATCTAGTGATGAATCGAGATTTTAGGTCTATAACATACACTCTGGGCTAAGCAGGAAATCTGAAGGTGTGTTTTGTTTTGTTTTTGTTTTTTTGAGTTGGAGTCTCACTGTGTCGCCCAGACTGGAGTGCAGTGGCCGTTCCTGGCCACTGCAGCCTCGACCTGCTGGGCTCCGGCGATCCTTCCACCTCAGCCTTCCAAGTAGCTGGAATCATAGGCGCACGCTACCACGCCCGGCTAATTTTTTGATTTATTGTAGAGATGAGGTCTCTCCTGACCAGGCGGGTCTCGAACCCGCAGGCTCAGGCAATCCTCTCACCTCAGCCTCCCAAAGGCGCGGGATTACAGGCTGAGCCACCGAGCCCGGCTTGAAGGTGTGTTTTAAAGTGCTGTTTAAAATAAAACAAACACATGGCTACAAGCATGTCGGGGTAATTGTTTTTCAAAAGAATTCAACAGTGTTGGCAGAGACTTCTAATACGAGCTGAGCCAACAGCTCCCGAGGTTCCTCCATAATGGCGATTTCAGCCCGGATGCCCAGCGCTAAGCCTTGGAGAGGAGGGAGTGTCTTGCATTACAGTGCTACCAACGAAGCTTACAGGGCAGCTCTCTTCCACTCTCTGCTGAAGAAGAGCCCTGAGACCAGGTCAGAACACGGCAAGAGAAAAATGGAGCACTTCAACAGCTCTGAAAATTAATACAATTAAACATTTCTGCTTTGACTATAAGCCTCTTAGCGGCAAGAAGGTTCGAATTAGAAATCGTCTCACCTGCAAAAGAACTCCCACAAGTCTAAGTTCTGGATTCTCTGAATTCTTTTAATTCGGTTGCGATCCATTGTTTTCCCAAAGAGACTAGCAACTTCGTTGTATTCATGTGTTTGGTTATGCAGAGGAATGAGCTGGAAAAGTAAATTTGCACAGCTTTGTTGGTGCCCTTTCCAGCTTCTTCCACAGTGTGGTCAGTCAGTTCCGCGCTTACCTGATAGGGCACTGCAGTATTCACATGCTCCCAGTGTGATGGCATTGGAATAGCCTCATTTTCACAGATGTAACTTGAAACAGCAAAGGACAAAACACAATGTCAGAAGCTGAGTATAATCCTTGTCAGAGAGCCTTTCCAAAGCTGGACTTCCATTTTTCAGGGTATTGTGACAAATGCAATGAAGAGGAGCTGCTGGTTTCTTTATTTAAACATTTTCTTATGTCTGTGTGTTACTTTTCAGGTGCTGACTAGCGAACCTTTGATGGAAAACTATCCAACCCTTCATACCATCAAAATTTCAAAAGCAGTTGTTGAATTGTCTTGTTTTTTACAAATTTCCAAAATTTCAAAATTTCTTGAAGATATAAGGAAGATTTTAGGGTAAAAAAAAATCCAAAAAGATAATCAAAGTTCTGGCGGGGCGCGGTGGCTCAAGCCTATAATCCCAGCACTTTGGGAGGCTGAGGCAAGGGGATTGCCTGGGCCCACGGGTTCGAGATCAGCCTGGACAACTTAATGAGACCTCATCTCTACGATAAATCAAAAAATTAGCCGGGTGTGGTACTGCGTGCCTGTAGTTCCAGTTACTTGGAAGGCTGAGGCAGAAGGATCGCCTGAGCCCAGCAGATGGACACTGGGGTGGCTGTGAGCGTGACACTGTGCTCCAGCCTGGGTGATGGAGTGAGACCTCCAACTCAAAAAAAAAAAAAAAAAAAAAAGAAAAAGAAAATCCAAGTACTAATGGGGAAAAAAAAGCCGAAACTCTTATTTATATGTACTGCTTATTGAACCCTCCAAGCTCTAACTCAAATAAACGTTTCTGTTTATTGTCCACATTTCTCTCACACGGTCCACGTTCATTCACTTAGTACGATCAGTACTAAGTATCAAATGGCAAATCTTTTAAAAAAGTATCACACGTGTTCAAGTCATTGTATGTGAACACAGAAAAAGGCAATGATGTTGGAGGTTAACAACAAAAGGCTGAAACTGACACATCAATACTCCCTGGTGACTGGAGGTTACTGAAAGAAATTAATATATTTCAAACCTGTCTTTAGTTTACTTTTCTCAAACTAGTTCTAATTTTTTTTTTTTTTTTTGAGTTGGAGTCTCACTCTGTCGCCCAGACTGGAGTGCAGTGGCCGCTCCCGGCCACCGCAGCCTCGACCTGCTGGGCTCCGGCGATCCTTCCGCCCTCAGCCTTCCACGTAGCCGGAATTACAGGCATGTACTACCACACCCGGCTGATTTTTTTTATTTATTGTAGAGATGAGGTCTCCCTGCCCAGGCGGGTCTCGAACCCGCGAGCTCAGGCAATCCACTCATCTCAGCCTCCCAAAGGCACGGGATTACAGGCTGAGGCTCCGAGCCCGGCTTAGTTCTAATTTTTTACAAACTCACACATATGATTGTATGGAGTAGACTGCCACTCCAGTCCTGGTCTGTCCAACTCTCACTTCTTACCCCAACTCCAGATAATCACTGTTTTTTTTAGTTTCTTGGGTATTCTTTCAGAAGTTCAACACAAGCCAAGTTTTTACCCCACACGGCAGCATAACGATACATTTTCCACCTTTTTTTCAACTTAATAAGTCCTTAGAGATCTTTCCATATTAGCACCTAGAGAGCATACTCAATCCCAGTGCTTACAACAGAGCCTGCCATGTGGTCCACACCCAATAAGTCTGGTTGAACGAATGAGTGCCTTCCATGCTACAGATGCATGGTATTCCATTGTCTGGATAGACAGTCATGAACTTGGCTGGTCCCCTATTGATGATATTTAGCTCGTCTTCAGCTTTTTGTATCAAGAATGCTGCCAAGAGCAAATCTGTCCATTTGGCATTCTATGTATTCACTAGTCTGCCTATAAAATAAAATTTTTTAATTAAAATTTCTTCTGGGTCAAAGGATATGTTTATTCCCAGATATGACAGATATGACCCAAATGCCATCCTTGAATATAATTATTGACATTCTCCTACCAGATGTGTAGAGAATGCCTATTTTCCAATAACCACTCTAAAAAAGGCATGTTATCAATCCTTTGAATTTTTGTCAATCTGATAGTAGAAAGTCTGGTATTAATTTGTTGATCTCTTGAGTGAAGTTGTATGAACTGTTAAAATTCTTTGTCCATGTTCTATTTAAAGAGTCACAGAAGGACATCATTAGCCCTTCAACTGCAATAATAAACTTATTTTCTCAATTTTTTCACACTTTGCCTAAAGTATCTTTTGGCCATGATGAAATTTAAAACAAAAATTTATGTAGCCCCCAGAACTTAATTAACTCCTTTCTGAGAGGAAGCATGTATTATTTGCCTTGCGTGAATATATGTGCAGCATATTCCCACAGGAAATAAGTATTTCCTGAAAACCACAGGTAAATTCAGCACCCACTACCCTTTATCACTCTACTGTATTCTACCTAACGACTCCTCTCCTTTTGTTATTACCTTGCTTACTGTCCTCCATTCAGTTTAATTTTCTCTTTGTCCTGTCTTTGCTCTATGGCTTGTACAGTCTGTGACAGAACAAAGTGCTCGACCCCATCATGTGTCTCTTCCTGCATCAAAGCATACGAGATATGCCACGTACAAGTACAAAAACATTTCCATTATTATGTCTCATTCTTCTCTCAGATCACATGCTCTTTGGAGATAATATTCCTTGTACTGAAGAAGGCAGATATGATGTAGGTGGTAAGGAAGTAATAGTCTCTGTATTCCACAGAAGTACTGCAGCATTCATTGTATGATTCTTGAACCACTTTTATGTTATGATGTTAAAATATAAGCCAAAGTCTTGAGAAACAAATTTAAAGAAACAAAATGTTTTTTTCCTTATTCTAACCTTAAAAAAAAAAATCTCTGTAGTAGGAGTAAATGGGCTTTCCTACAATTCACTTTTTCAGTTTCATTTTAAATCCTTTGAAGAAATTCCAATACTTGCTTGAGGAGTCACTCCAGAAAGTAGGAGACATGCTTAGTATTTTTCTCTTCGATTCCATTCACATAAATAACATATATTTATTACCTTCTGGCATTTAGACCCCTTTTCCAGGCTATATATGGCCAGAGATATCAAAAAGGAAAATGAGCAACCCAGGTCCAGGAACAGGGAGCTGTACTCTTGTCCTGCTGTTTCCACTGTCTTCCTTAGGTCTCCTTCAGTCACTACAGATTTGAAATTACTTCTCAGAGTTGACTGATGGGCACCAGTGGAGATGGAGACAAAGCAGGCAATTGCATAGGATTTTTTAGCCCAAGTAATTGGATGCTTCTGTGAGAGTATTTCCAAGTTAGCCATTCAAACTTACCCCGGTGACTTATTTTAAGGGTTTAGAGCAGAGACCATCAGGCATTTTGTAACTACCATGCAAACTGTTCTCAAGAATTAAACAATATAAACAAGGAGAAAGAAAAAGAATAGCATTAAAGAGGTACTTCCAGAAAATAATAATGTTGCTATTTTATCAACAAAGATTCATTATTTAAAGGATCAATATTTAGATCATTAATGACCTAGCAAAATATTTTCAGTCTATATGTTTTTCTGTCAAACAGAAAGAAACAGAGAGAGAGAGAAAGAGAGGAAAAAAAGAGGAATATTTTCAGTCTGTATGTTCTTCTGTCAAACAGAGAGAGAGAGAGAGAAGAGAAAGGAAAGCCCCACCCTTTCCCCCCCATACTCTTTACATTACCTGAAAGCACTGATAGAAAAGGGGGCTCTTTTTATTAAGCGCTGCTTTCCAGTGATGAGGTTTGTTTGCTTCATCTCTGTATACAAAGACAAGACACCAGGTAAGTCATAGAAACACACTGTGCTACAAAGCGTCATGAAGACCAGGAATCGTGGTGCTTTGGGAGCAGTTGGCAAAGACTGTCTATCAGGGATACTTTACCATGCATCTACGTATCATGCCATGAAGGTGCTATTCGGGGAACACAGCTTCACTGCTTGATCTATGCTCACACATAAAGATGCTAATTCCATTCACTGTTCAGTATGCAGGGTCTACTCCTTCCTGTATCATGGTTAGGTTAAGCCAACACTAAAATAAGAGAGTTCTAAACTTCGGAAAGCTAAGAGTACTAGAAAGAGAGAAACTACAGTGCTAAATCTGGTTGGTTTATTAAGTGGAAAAATGTACTTTAATCTCTCCAAACAGACTGCAAATGATAAAAGAGATAAATTAACATTATAAAACTTGCACAACTCACAGAGTTTCAAAAATTTGTACATTTCTTGCCTTCTCTTTAAGCTGTATACCTAAGCCAAAAAAGCAGAAAATCTGGCTAGACCCAACACAAACGTATATAAAAATATTTCAGTGACAAATGACTAACTAAAGGAGTCATTTCTTCTGTCATCTATGCCTCAGCCATGGCAATAATTACTGGGTTCATTTCTTCATTCCCACAAAGTAGAGAGTCTTGATGTAAGATTCTAGCCAGTTTACCCTATCTGATTGACATCATTCCGTTCTAGAATAAAGGGATTCACCCACCCAGGCCAAAGCTAGTATACAGTGTGTTCTGCCCTTTCTGTGTTCTCTTAGATTCTACACATATTGGCATCATCACCGTTCAGGGAAAAAGCAAGATCATCTCAGCACATAAAGCAGGGCCTGTGATGCCATCTTCTTGAACCATCTCATTTGGGGCTTACTTTCCACCATTTTCACAGCGAGAACTTGAGTTAGCTAGTGGTAGAATGATTGGGCTAAATAACTTTCCACACAGTACATGTGAAATGCTAATACCTACACCTTTGAAACAGAATCATTATACAGAGGGTTGGGGAACCTGAGTTACTAGTATATATGATTCCTATTCTTTGACAAAGATATTTTCTAATAAACTGCATTTTCGACAAGAAGTGTCCAAAAAGTACAGTCTACTAAAAAATATTCTTTCAGAAACAGTGGCCTACAGAATTATCTAGCAAATGCTTTGACAAACTTCATCCTCTCCATGAAGCCTGATATTCTGTTTCAGTTCTGCTTCAAAAATAGCACTTGTACGCCAGACTAAAAATGCCTATCAAAGTCATGGCACACTCACGGTCACCCCAGTGTCAACCTGCTGGGCTTCGGCAATCCTTTGGCCTCAGCCTTCCAAGTAGCTGGAACTACAGGCGTGCACTACCACGCCCAGCTAATTTTTAATTTTATTGTAGATACAAGGTCTCGCCAAGTTGCCCAGGCAGGTCTCAAACCTGTGGGCTCAGGCAATCCATTCGCCTTGGCCTCCCAAAGTGCTGGGATTACAGGTTGAGCCACCAAGCCCAGCCCCTAATATCATTTTTTAAATGATACAGTTAGTTAGGAGAAAGACTCTAACGGTTTTAACTTTTGGTAATGAAAAAAATGCAAAAAAACCCCAACTTTGGTGGGACAATAATCATTAGGTATTTGGTCGTATCAATCCCTTACGAAACAAATCCCCTTCACCATTTTTAGGCCTTGGCTTATCCAAGGAAATTTCCTAAGGTTTCACCAACCCACCCAATCACAACACACTACCGGCACTGCCATAAAGACACAGAAATTGGAAATGAACAGCTAAAGGACTAAGCTGTGTGGCAATCAAAATGCACTTTTATTAAGAAAGCCTCCCACTCAGGTCTTGTGTGGTCTCCGAGCAATAACTAGCTGATGCTAGCAACCTGAAACGTGAAGGGCTGAATTCAATAGGTTTTTCATGGGATCCCTAAAAACATGCCCATATAGGCCAGATGAATCCCAAGTGGGCCTCATTCTCAGGCCGGCTGGCTAATCTGTAAAGAGCTAGTGAAATCAGAAAAGGGCAGAAGGCAATGTCCACTCAAGAAACAGTTTTCTGGCAAAAACACCAAGAGAAAGGTCATTCAGCTAAACTTTGGCCTTAAAACTATCACCAGCTGCCTATGACTTTCTCATGTAGCATCTCAGCTTGATCCTTAAAATAAAAACGTTCCTACCGACTTCAAAAGACAGATGGGACAATGAATAAAACAACTGCTATAAAGTGTTTTGTGTTCCTTAGAAGACAAATATTAAATGAACTCAAAATGACAATCTTCACGTGCATTAATATATGATAACACATAAACGTGCCTCTAAAAAGGGCAATGTTGTTTGAGAAGATTTTAAATCTTGAATTCCTGTAAAGGTATTTTTGTGCATAACAAAAAAGATTTACTCTACTGTTTGCAAATATATCAGCTAATCCTGATCTTCAAAGCTACAGATTTTATCATATCAATATACTAAAAACACACAACTATTAGGGAAAAAAACATACCTGCAAAGTCTATCTTGTAGCTGAATTTGGAAGTAGTAAAAGAAATGGAGCCACAAGGGTTTGTTTTGAAGCTTTTTTCGATATCTTCACTGCTAACTGAACACTGAATGTTGGTATCCGGCTTTAAGACAAACCAGAAAGTTTCATTTACCAGCTGTTCACATTAATGACTTGGCCACAGAGGTGGTACTGTGGTCACAGAGACAGGGAATGGAGCGACAAGGGAAACTTACTAGTCACCTGTTCTAGTTCCCAACACATAGGGGGAGGATCACAAGTAAGCCAGCATATTAAAAATGGTTGAAAGATTTCTAGTGAAGAAACAACTGGTTATAGTCCCTTTATCCAGATTATTACAATTTTCATAAATTATTCCAATTTTACTAAGTGGCTCAAATTAAGTCTTCTTTATATCGCTTGGTAGAGTTTTTAAAAAAAAGACTGCAAATTTTTGAGCATGGATTCAAGTGTCAGTTTAACTAGCCGTGTGATCTTGGAAAAATTATGTTAACTTTTCTGAGTTTCACTTTCTTTGACTGTAAGACAGAGTGATAACATCTGTTTCAGAGTTATTGTGAGAATAAAGGAGAAAATAAATGTACAACACCTAACATAATACCTGGCATACAGAAGGTGTTTAATATGGATTTGTTCTTCCCTTTCTCTTTGTCCACCAAATCAAACTTGGAGTTGCTCAGATGTACTGACACCATGCAACTCTCAGTCACATTCGCCCTCTGTACACACAGTAAACACATACCGTTTCTTCTAAATAAATGACTGTGAAAACCTGGGGAAAAGAAGAGGAAAAGGACTAGAAGAATTTCTAACTTTTCTTTTCATTAAGTTATTTGATTTCCTTAAGATCTGATTTCAAGTTCTGCATCCACACTCGTTTTATGTATCAGCAAGGTGACGCTAAGTGATTCAAAAGCCTTTCTGTTAAATTCAAGGAGAGGAGATACCTGAAACATGTGCCACTTGCCACATTCTGCCAAGTAAAACCAGCCCCACTGGGTATCCGAAGTGTCCATGTCATCAACTTCGTCATTTGTCGTCTTGGGAAAGAATTCGTCCGCTTTGTGAAACATCTCCTGAAAAGCCAGAAAGAGGTAAAGGAAGACATAATTCTGTCAATACTAAATGTACTTTTTTGCAGATCATTTTACTTCTTTACAAAGAATGGTATGCAAGTGTCTTTCCCACCATGACACTTTAAAAACAGCATTCTATCTTGCATACTGGCTCTGAAGATAAACATTTAAAATGTTGAATATCATTGCTTAACAATTTAGGCAAAAAATAATAATCTTAGGTAGGATAAACCAATGCCAAGTCAACCATTTAAGTAAGCTATATCAGCATCAATGAGCACTTCCAATTCTCAGTATAACCCCAAGAAATGTCAGTTTTATCATCTGTTCATGTATTTGGTCAAACGGATCTATGCCACCACAACTAGTTAAGACCAAATGCATCTAAACTTTGTTTTAAACAGTTACTATTTCATCAATGGCATGGAAAGATTATTTATTATTTATTATAGTGTTGGGTACGAAAGAAAATTACAAAAAACATAAATAGCATGATCCAATTTTAACAAAAACACATCTATATTTACACATGTGAATACGTATGTGTATATGTATGAATGTGTATGTATAGGTACCTGCACTTGCACACACACATGCCTCTGTACAAGGAATACAGTACCTGTATTTGCACACACATGCCTCTGTATAAAGAAGATCCAAAGCCTGATATTAAGAGCTTAACATAAAAAAGTCTGGATGTACATACAACAATTTGTCACTGTTTCTCCTAGATGTCGGGATAAAAATAATAACAGTTAACATTTATATGGTTCTTCCCATGTACTGTTCTAAGTGCTGTACAGATGATAACTCATTCAGGTCTCACAACAACCTAAGTAAGATAAATATTATTATTATCCTAAATTTAAAAATGAGGAACTGAGGTACAGAGAGGTCACACAACAAGGAAGCCAAGATTCAAACCCAGGGAGTTTGGCTCCAGGGTCTGTGCGCTTAACCACTATGGCTTACCGCCTTGCACTTCATTATCGTGATTTTATAATTTTAATGATACCGATGAACTCAAGTACCCATTAACTATGAAAAGTTTTAGACAGTCTTGGTTGGGTATTCTAATAAAGAAATGTCCCCAGAAAGGGGGCAAAGAAAATTTAACTTAATCTGGAATTCAGCTTCCTGTCCTCGTTCTTTAAGGGCTTCTAGATTACCAGTTTAAATTTGCACAACTACTAAACGAAAACATTCTCACTGCAAACAATAAAAACATTCAAAATAAAGCTAAAGAATTTTTTGACCATCACTTCCATTCCTGGAGTCTTTTCACCTTCCTTCTCCAGGGTTAACCAATGCTATCAATTAACTATGTACCTTTCAGATCTCTCTCTCTCTGTCTGCAACCATATACACATATACAAACATATATATGCTTACTGATGATTTGTTAAAAATTTGGTTTCTGGCATCTTTAATTTTTTTTTACAAAGAATATATACTAGTGGGCAATTTGGAAAATATTAGTTTTTAATTTCATTATATAAAATGTCCATCCTATTGCTAGAAGGTGTAGTGACCCGGAAAAATTTTCTATTAGTTTGTCTAGGTCGCAGTCTGCTCTTCACAAAATGAAAAACTAATGGCACCTTCCTCACTGGGTTGTTAGAATGAATGAAGCAACGCAGTAAAGAACCGAGAGCAGTACCTGGGCTCAGTGAGGGGGGGCTGTTACTTTTTATTCGTGTTTGGAAGTTCCAAGGAATATGTTATGACTATTTTCTGTTTGTTTGTCTGTTTTTCCTTCATGTTTTAAAGCTGATTAGCTTCTAAGAAACGAAAAATGGAACATTCTAGGGTCAAGAGCTTCTGGTTTAGAGTTCATTATTTACCTTCCATATTTCAACCACACAATAAAGACAATGATTTAAAATTTAAGATCAACTGTCCAGTTAACTATTCACAATTCCTCCTCCTTCTTTCTACTACTGGTCATATCATTTGGCCATTTTATCGTGAGAAAGAGAGAAAGAAAGCAAGAGTGACCTAAATTTAGTCTTTCTTCTGAAAATTACCGAAAAATTAGGAAGGATGAGGTTGACGCTAACAGTTAAGATATAGAGTTGGTTTATGAGTTCCATCTTCCCTCTATTAGAAAAGAGCATGGGAAACAGAAAGCATCCTTTGTGCAGAATACATGCAACGCATGTGCTCTGCCACATAACATTGTACTCAACATCTCACTCTAGGCCAAGTTACAAATGAAAGTGTTTTAGTAAAATCCTTTCCGAGCTTGCTGTCATAACTTCAGGAGGGACCTAGGACAGGCCTACATTCTATCTATCACTATTTTAGAAAGGACAGTTCGACAGACAGGTACCATTGCACTAAACATTCTTAAAGCACTTCAAATTTTATAGTTCTTTGTCAATTGACACTTTCTTCCCTCCACAACCCAATGTGCAGCAGAGATAAGTCATTATTTTCTGATGAAAGTCAGAAAAAAACAAAGCAGAGAATAATATAATTATTTTGTCTAGAATTGTAGAGTTAGCAATACAGAATAGATGAAAGGAACACCCAAAGTCTCCTGAGTATTAGTTCTTCCCTAAGTTATAAAGCCTCACTGCCTCATTTTCACTTACAGACAGTTATTTCTCCTCTCTTTTGCTGCCAAAGCTTAATTTTTTTTTTTTTTTTTTGAGTTGGAGTCTCACTCTGTCGCCCAGACTGGAGTGCAGTGGCCGCTCCCGGCCACTGCAGCCTCGACCTGCTGGGCTCCGGCGATCCTTCCACCTCAGCCTTCCAGGTAGCTGGAATCACAGGCATGCGCTACCACGCCCAGCTGATTTTTTTTTATTATTTATTGTAGAGATGAGGTCTCGCTGCCCAGGTGGGTGTCGAACCCACGGGCTCAGGTCATCCACTCACCTCAGCCTCCCAAAGGCGCGGGATGACAGGCTGAGCCACCGAGCCTGGCATGCCAAAGCTTAATTTAATTGCTTTGCTTCACATACGCTCTGGCTTTCTTTCAAAACAGGCATTTCATAAAACTAAACCTCACAATTTTCTACAGTAAGTTTTCACTCCAAAGAAATGGCTTCTTTGCATAATTAGGCTCAAAGAGTAAGTAAAATTTAAATTAATGACTTTAAAATACTATAACCATAGCAATAATGGCTCTAGGCCAGAACACATTTATAGGTAATAAGAAGAAGAACACGTGCAAGTGGTTGGTCACGAAGTAGACATTTAACAATGTTGGGTGAACGAACTAGGTCAGTCACAACGACACAGCCCGCCTGCTTTTCCTGTTTTCAATAGGAAGATGACGCTTCCAGCACAGCAGGAGGCGAAGAAAAGAAAGTTAGTGCAAAGTGACAAAACAGTTTGCAATTTTTCAAGCACAATGGGTATACTGGCAGAGCCTGTCTAGAATGCTATGGATGACAAGGAGAATATTTACAGGGCCTTTATTTATAAGAACAGTCAGTCTGGATCGCCCAATTGAAAAGCTGCGTGGAAAATGAATCCAAAGTCAACATCTTGGTCTCGACAAGGAAAATGATGCTGTCTTCCAGATTGGTTACAAGTTTTCTGAAAAGTTTATTACTACAAAGTATAATTTATTTTGTTGGTATAGACATAATACCTTGAGAAAATCATTAGTGGTAATAAAATCTTCCTTGCCTCTATATAAAGAAGATCCAAAGCTTGATACCAAAGGCTTAAAATTGGGCCAGGCCTGTCATCCCAGCATTTTGGGAAGCCGAGGCAGGAGGAATGCTTGAGCCTAAGAGTTCAAGGCCAGCCTGGCCTCTTGAACAGTAAGACCTCGTCTCTACAAAAAGAAAAAGAAAGAAAGAAAAATTAGCTGGGCATGGTGGTGCATGCCTGTAGTCTCAGCTACTCAAGAGGCTGAGGTGAAAGGATCACCTGAGTTCAGGAGGTTGAAGCTGCGATGAGCCAGAATCGTGCCACTGCCCTCCAGCCTGGGTGACAGAGTGAGACGCCGAGTCAAAAAACAAACAAACAAACAAACAAAACTTTAAAATGGGGCAGAACTTCCAGAATGACAGGGTAAGGCATTCAGTAGGCCCTTATAAAACCACATTTTAAAAACTGGTGAAAATTTTTTAATTTTTTTTATTTTTTTTGAGTTGGAGTCTCACTCTGTCGCCCAGACTGGAGTGCAGTGGCCGCTCCCGGCCACCGCAGCCTCGACCTGCTGGGCTCCGGCGATCCTTCCGCCTCAGCCTTCCGAGTAGCCGGAATTACAGGCATGTGCTACCACGCCCAGCTGATTTTTTGATTTATTGTAGAGATGAGGTCTTGCTGCCCAGGCGGGG